TTTTTTAAAAAAAAGTTATACATGGACTTTTGACTGGGGGCGGGGTGGGAGGGAGGCGGACGCTGTGCAGTGTCAGAGCCCCTAACCACTGCATTGTTCAAGGGTCAACTGCATACCTAAATCTTCTGACAAAGTCTCTGATTCAATTGTATATGCTTTCTTGGGTGTTTATAATCAAATAAGAAGTACTAAACTTTTATAAAGAATTATAAAACATAAGTAACATTTTAAATGTAAACTGTATATATGAATTACTAGAGGCCTGGTACATGAAATTCATGCACTCAGCAGGGAGGCGTGTCCCTCAGCCCAACCTGCACCCTCTCACAGTCTGGGAGCCCTCAGGGGATGTCCAACTGATAGCTTAGGACATCCTTTGTGCTGCCCCAGAGGCAAGAGAGGCTCCCGACACCACTGCTGCGCTCGCCAGCCGTGAGCTTGGCTTCTGGTTGAGCAGTGCTCTCCCTGTGGGAGTGCACTGACCACCAGGGGGCAGCTGCTGCATTGAGCGTCTTCCCCCTGGTGGTCAGTGCATGTCATAGCAACCAGTTGTTCTGCCGTTGGGTCAATTTGCATGTTAGCCTTTTATTATATAGGATTGCATTGAAAAAGTGGCAAATTAGATAAGCATTACGTTTTATAGCTTGACATATCTGAGTTTTATATCTTCAATATGGAATAAGTTTGCTATCTGGATGTTTGTTTTTTCAATAACGAAGTAATAGAAATTAAATCTGCACAATTTACAACTCAAGTATATACAAGTAAGTTCATCTGGAAAAAGGGAATTTATATGAGCATGTAAAAAGAAAAACAGCTTTAGTAAAGGGAATAAGTGCTGATGGAAGGGGAGGTTTATCCAACTTACTCTGGATAAGGGTCAGGGACATTAAACCTCTTACATAGAAGCTTGTCAGGATGCCATTCAAATGTGTCTCGGGTGAGCTTCCCAAACATCTTCATCTTCACAGCCGACTGCTTGTCATTGACATCATTCTGGGAAAAGACATGCATTCTTTGTCATCAGGTGGTCACACAATTGACCTGACTGCTCTCCCATTTACAAGTTTTCAAGCAATTTTTCACAATTATACAACCAGTCATGCTACATTTTTGCTAAAGTACACCGGAAGCTAAAAACATAAACGTAATTTATAATTTCACAATGCCATGTAGATTTTGATCTTTTCAACTGAGGGAGTTTAAATATTTAGCTGTGCAGTGTATTGTGTGTGTTTTGTTAAAATCTTTATTGTTGAAAGTATTATATATGTCCCCCTTTTTTCCCCATTGACCCCCCCCTCCAGTCTACCCCCACCCCCTGCCCCAGGCCCTCCATTTCACGATTCGTGTCCCTGGGTGATGCATATATGCATACAGGTCTTCAGTTGGTTACCTCACACCCACCCATCCTCCCCCACTTTCCCTCCAAGATTCTATACTGTTCCCTGCTTCCATGTCTCTGGATCCACTCTGTTCATCAGTTTATTTTGTTAATTAGATTCTACATATGAGTGAGTGTCTTTCTCTGACTGACTTATTTCACTTAGTCACTATGCAATGTTTTAATTTTAAAATGCACCAGGTAGGCCCTGGCCAGGTAGCCCAGTTGGTTAGAGCATCATCCCAATACGCCAAGGTTGCAGGTTCAATCCTGGTCAGGGCACTTGCAAGAATCAAGCAATGAGTCCTAGCAGGTTTGGCTCAGTGGATAGGGCATCAGCCTGTGGACTGAAGGGTCCCAGGTTTGATTCTGGTCAAGAGCACATGCCCAGGTTGCAGGCTTGTTCCCCAGTGGGGGCCATGCAGGAGGCAGCCGATCAGTGATTCTCTCTCATCATTGATGTTTCTATCTCTCCCTCTCCCTTCTTCTCTGAAATCAATAAATATATTTTTTAAAAAGATAAAAGAATCAACCAATGAATGCATAAACAAGTGAAACAATTGATATTTCTCTCTCCCCCCCTCCCCCTTCCTTCCTCTCTCTCAAATCAATAAATAAAAAATTTTTTTTAATGTACCAGGCGTCAGAAGGGGGCAGGAGTAGGGAGGAGAGGGTCAATGAGGGAAGGAAGGTGAGTGTCTGTAATACCTTTAACAATAAAGATAATTTTTTTTTTAAATGCACCAGGCGCCCTGGCTGGAGTGGCTCAGTTATTTGAGTGTCGCCCTGTGCACCAAAAGGTCACTGGTTTGATCCCTGGTCAGGATGTATATGAGAGGCAACTGATTGATGTTTCTCTCTCTCTCTTTCCCCCCTCTCTAAAGTTAGTAAAAATATATCCTCAAGAGAGAATTAAAAAAAAGAGAGAGAAGACAAAGTGAAGGTCAAGAGAGATATCTATTAAAGAAGCTGGAGTTGTACATAACAGTTTACATTTTTTATTTATTCAAGAGTCAGAGTGTCAATAGAATTAATTTTTTTGTATAAAATCAAGCTATACTGTTTAAACACACAACAAAAGAGGGATTTCAGAGTAAATTCACCAAAATGTCAGGAATTACATATTGATG